TAGAAACACTTCCTCCTGTCATGGCTGCCATCAGTGTTGGTGCAAAGCCTCTATTCTATAGAAACACTTCCTCCTGTCATGGCTGCCATCAGTGTAGGTGCAAAGCCTCTATTCTATAGAAACAGTTCAATATAGGATGATACATGGCCTGAAAAGAGAATACAGTAATAGGAAAAAGCCTCTATATAACATGAGTAGCGCTTTATGTTACATAATACGAATGTGTCGCCAAAAAAGAATCGTGTACTAATAAAACCCACTAATCGTTTTCGAAAACTGGAAAAAAGTTTACGCACATCCAACCTGAACAAAACAAAATTTTCATTTCTGTTCTTCCTTTTTTCAGGTCCAAGTTCGGATCTTTCTCAGTGTAAAGAATTATCGATAAAGATCTTAACAAGAGACAGCAAGTCTTAGAATGTCTTTCCTGCTGGATGGGCTAGCTAGTGTCTTCACGTTCATGACCCACGTGGCTCCACCATTTTTTGATGTGGACATTGATACCAGCGACACTGATGGCTATGCTATAGCAGGACACCTAACAAAGATTTGCACCATATCCATAAAGTTTCCAGATAATTATTGGCTGGGTGATACTCGGGAAGAAATCGAGTCTCTTAGACCTACCATTTACCTTGTCAGTGAAGAATCGGCACATTCTGTAAAAAACGATTTACGCGAAACGCTCGGCGAAGATCACTGGGTCAGTGACCAAAAGGTACGCTTTGATGTATTCATAAGTGTAACGGAAGCTGGAACCTATGTGGCGGACATAAAATTCTCTAGATATGGAGTTTGTTTCCTCGGCCAGAAAACCGTTAGATACACTGTAAGGCCAGCAGAACCAAGATCTATTGAACTCATTGGCAAAGAACCAGAACCAGGCCATGGGGAAGGCGACAACATATATCGTGAGGGGAAGGTCAGATTTTTTTTGAAGATCAAAGATGAACATGGAAACACTTGCGAGGGAAAATATTTGAACTTTAACATAACGCAAACAACTGGCTCAGTTACCTTAATCTCGACGGAGTTTGACGAGTGGAGTTGTCACCATGTTGTCACTGTAC